CCATTTTAACAGCCGTTGCTACGCACGCGTTCTTAAAGCGTGGTTTAGACGGTTGCTAAGGAGGTAAGCGCGAGTTTACCCACGTAAATAACAAGACAACGAAAAAGGTATTTATGAGAGGGGGGCTTGCCTCGCGGACGCGCGTCTGCTTGATGGTGGTGATGATCTGGTCGCGCGTGATGCAGACCACGCAGCGCCGCCGCCCCGCCAGCAGGGCCTCCTGCAGGAGCCGCGTGTAGCGCAGGTAGTCGCTGGAGCCCTCCACCACCATCACCACCACGCAGCGCCACTCGTCGTTCTCCAGCTCGTTCTCGTCGGGGCCCATCTGCGAGAGGCGCTTGCCCAGCCCTGCGAGGCAGCGGACGCGTGGGCGGCGGGCGGGGCCAGCGACGCTTCAAGGGATTTGGCAAGGTTTACAGAGGAATGCGAAATTTGAAGGGATTCGAAATTCGAAGGGAATATCAAATTTGAAGGGATTCGAAGTTTGAGGGCAATATGAAACATGAAGGGATTCGAAGGTTGAATGGAATATGAAATTTGAAGGGAATATGAAACTTGAAGGGAATATGAAACATGAAGGGAATATGAAACATGAAGGGAATATGAAACATGAAGGGAATATGAAACATGAAGGGATTCGAAGGTTGAATAGAATATGAAATTTGAAGGGATTCGAAGTTTGAAGGGAATATGAAACTTGAAAAGATTTGTGAAGTTTGCAGGGAATATAAAAATTCAAGGAATTTGTGGTGTTCGCAAAAAATGAAAAACACGAAGCGATGCAAGGTTTGTAAAAATTAGGTTTAACGAAAATAAGGTCTTGCGAAATTAGTAAGGCTTGCCAGACTTAAGGGGATGACGAGACAGGGGCAGCCAGCAAAGTTGAAGAGTTTTTTATGCTCGCTTTGCTTTCGATTGATTGATTGATTGGTGATTTCACGAGCGTCAACTGCCACGGTCATTAGTCCCATAAATATGTAGCGTCGATCTTCCCCTACTGAATGACGAGACCTGACACCAAACTACCAGTCGGCCAGTATTTTTTCCCAACCAAGTATCTCCCACCAGCGTAGCATAACCCTAGCCGGGACAAGCTCTAAGCTCCCGACTGCTCTCCTGGATTTGTGGTAGTGTACTGCACGAAAGAAAAGGGTGAGCATAAGGGATGATCACGAGCGGTTCTTTCTTTTTTGTTAGGGTATTGCTCCGGCATTAGGCTGGTTTTGATCAGAGAAACCACGAGAAACTTCCAATCAGAAAACAGGCCGGAAGAATTCTTCTCCACACAACAGTTGAAATCGACCTAGCCATTTACCTTGTGTGGAAAATGACACCGCGGTCCCTAGGACATCCCGATCGAAGGCACTGTAGTGACATTAGTTGTTCTGGATCGGTTAAGCTGCTTCAATTACTAACTTTTCTCCAAGATACTTTATTGCTTCGACAGAAAAATCCGTGAAAACAAAGCACACCACATTGAAGTGGTGCATAGTATGGCAAAACCAGACTAGCCGTAGACGCTGTGTGCGCCGCCGGGAGTGAAAATTGAATGATTGGTATGTTAAGTGGAACTTACGTGCCACTTATGAATAAGTTTGCTTGTTTCCTCCACTGACCAACTTTTCGACGAGTGTATATACATTTTGTTAGAATTACAATGTCTGACTTGAACTTGCATGCAACAACTATTTCCTTTTGGTCAAATGTAAGAACAATAATTTTAATTTCATTAAATTAATACAAAACCTCAAATATTCTATTGTTATTTTTAATACACGATTAGTCATAATTATATTATAAATAACCTCATTGATTCTATTTGCGAGACATCATTATTACAACTCTCTTTAATTTTATAAAAATTACGCTGTCAAAGGTTATATCACAAGAGAGAGAATTTTTTAATGAATCGAACTAGTAGGCACAATAAACATTAATATATGAACATAAACTTAGGCAAATATTGAGATATCGCTCTTGTATTATTTAAGAAAAAACATGAGATAAAAACTCTCACAAATTAATATAGTGTATCCTCGGAACCATTTAATGTTTGCCCAATTAAGATCCCTAACTACGTATCTTTCATGGATATCAGATCTCACTAAAACGAGAAATTTATTCTTTCCAACGCAAGGGAATTGCGTCTTGATATGTTAAAGCTGATAGTAGGGCGAGTGACGTATTGAAATATTAGTATGTGTTAGAAGTTGATAGCGAAGAAAGTTAAAAACCCTTCGTATTCGTCTTAGGCTACAGAAAATATCTACATTTCCTAGGGGGCGAGCATTCCCGAATACTGCCAATATTTTTTTCTTAACTTGCAGGCTTAATATGGCTTCTGAATTATCATCATCGTCATAGTTTTCAAAGTCGTCATTTTATATGAATTCCATATTTTTTTTCTCAAATAAGCCAAATAAATTCCTTGATGAAATACCTAAACACATACTACCCACATTCAAATCGAACTACTATATCGAAAAAGCACTTTTTTCCACATACTTATTGTATTATTCCTCTTGATCATAACCTCAATTTCTTAGTAAACAAGTTTACAATTTGTATTCTGCTCTTATTTATTTAGTAGCGTATAGTACAAGCGCTTGATAATTAGAGTAAACTGAAGCTGTATCAACTAAATACCTAATAATACATACCATTAGCTCGCGACTTTTTGTCATTGGCTGAGGACGGGGCAGACAATTTATTCTTCTTCTTATCTTCCCCAGACTTCGTCTCTGTTTTTGATTTAGTTTTCGCCATTGTTCTTACTGGAAACTATCATTTAAAACACGAAATATCCCAAGTTCTCACAATGTCTTCTCATTCGCTTGTCCAGTTAAGATACAGGAGTACTCTTATTCCACCTTTCATTTGTTTTCGAAGAGGACAGTTTTTTTCAACGCCAGAGCGTTCAAATGCTCTTTATTATTATTATTATTATTATTATTATTATTATTATTATTATTATTATTATTATTATTATACATAAATACTTCAAATTGTTTTAACCCCAATTAATGAAAAATAAAGTACCGAAATATGGTTCTGGTATTCATTCCATTATGCACATCTAAATTCAACAAACCTCTAATACCTGCTAAAGAGTTTAAAAAAGATTTTATGAGAAATGTATCTATTTCTCAATTCTCCTCATAGAGGAAACATGAGAAATGATACGGAAGCAATTTTAAATGATAGGTATTAATTTTTAAATCCATACGCCAATGTCCATGAGTACCAGTGAAATTCCTAATGTAAACAAACGTAAAATCACAAATAGCATAAAAAAATTAGAGAAGTCAAATGTTTTGTATATGAAAATCAAATCCCTTTAAATTCATAAAACATATAATTCCATTCTACTTAAAATAAGCTAGGGAAATATGACAGTTTTATGCAGTCTACAAGAAATATTGGTTACAATACCCCGCAAGTGTGCTCGATAGGGAATTACCTCTGACACACTGTCACATTGACACATTTGTCAAAGAGATTTAGAATGAAAAACTGAAGTTCGCAGATTACGGCCTAAGAGGGAAATCAGGCACAAAAGTACGCAGCGACACACTTTCCCATCGACCATAACTCCGAAAAGACTCGTCTTAGGTCTTTAAAACTAAGTTCTCGTGTTCCGGAAGGCACAAGAATTATGTTTTGCGAGCTGTAATCTACCAAGTGAGACCTATTTTTATGACCATTACATTTTCCCTCACCTCTTAGCCCGGTTTGCCAGAGCCGCTGGACGTTGGATTCCGGTGTGACGCTATTTTCATTTTGAAAATCTTGATTTACAAAGCAGTTCGCACGGGTCGAGATTAAAAGATTTGTTTCCGGGCGTGTCAATGGCTAAGTTCCCGTAAGTGTAGTCATGTTTTACTGGCGGTTAGCCCTCGCTGGATAGCGAGATCCAGAGCCGAACTATCTCAGTTTGCGGAGATTTTCTCCAGCCAGGAACCGTCCCAGCGAGGACAAGCTCTAAGCCCCTGACTAGTCTCATGGCACGAAACGAAATGGTACGAAAATATCACATATTGAGATTTAAAAATGGACTTGCGCCACTACTCAATTGTATCATTAATCAGCAATCGGAATAGTCTAATACTGATAGAATTATACTCTTGAAACGTACACACTCTCTTTAATATTACCTGGCAGTAATATCACAAAAACTCAAGTGTGTTGTGTTTCTTGTCAAAATGTTAAAACACTACTGGCAGATCTCTAACTTAGAGAAAATAATGGAGTTTTTACAAGTATTTTTATTTTCGTAAACCGATAAAAATCCAAAACATTGTGGACTTCCCTTTGAATTCTACAAGTCTAACTTTCTCTCCTGCAAGGTTTCAAGTAGAAAACGTGTTGCTTCATACTTTAGTCATTAAAGAAGAATGGATACGAGTGATTTTTGTTGACAGGCCTCCAAAGGTATCATGAATTCCGCATAGGAGTGTTATCAGACGACAATGAAACATTATCGAACAAATGTTTGTAATTCCAGATTAACTTTCGGGAAATTTGTAATTTCAATGCAATATTTTATTTTACGATACGTCAGCAACTTGTTTTAATTCACTCTTAGCTCGTTTAACAAAGATGTAACTCAGAAATATTATTTCATTTCAAATTCTCATTTATATTAGTGAATTATAGATGAGTTGTGTCAAGTTCTCAAAATAATGTTATTCATTGTATAACTAATTTAGTCGCTTGAATCTCTGTTGTGTTTAACAGATCGACGGTTGATCGTATGTATTTAATACACGAGTTGAGTGAACAGTAAAAACAAATTATGAACCTGGTTTCCGTATAATATCATTTCCAGCGCAAAATATTTATCTGAAATCGGAGTCCGCGCCATCGCAGTCTTACAAATGAAATTCGAGATACGTCGAGAGGTCGCTTCATAGAATCGGTCGAAACAGTTGTTCCTGCGTTGCTAAGGCAACGATAACACGCCGTTCGCACGCGAGCGCGTTGAGGAAGAGACGTCCGAGATGGCGGAAAGGATAGCTCCGTCCGAAAGCACGCTCGTCAAGTATGACAATCCTGTTCTCGTAACAAAACACGAGAAGAGGCCCTCGAAGGTAAGACAGCATCGTCAGTTGCAAGTTTATGTTTCTCTGGCTTACATTTACCTCACTTAAAGTAGACTCCCCTACCCTATTGCACTCTCTATGCACGTTTCCTTGCTCCAATGCACTAAAATTTGTCTTAGTTAACTGTATAAATATTCGTGCTGATGTCTAAGATCTATTGTAACTGCCTGAAAGAAACCGACCGACCGGATTTAGTTCCCAAAGAAGTTTTTGGATGTGTCGTAAATATCACTCACGTTTATATTTCAACAGGTTTCGAAGAAGTTTTCTATAATCCCTCGTTTGAATTATCCATTAATACATAAATCACATCAATAGTCGTACCATCAGTAGAAAATAGGTTATACGTCCGGAAATAAAGTGAACAAATTTATTCAACAAGTTTTTTCGTGTTGTTGATGCATCTTAACGTTTACTGTAACGTGGCACTCTATACTATTAGTTTCGATTTACACCAGAATCATCATTCGTGGTAGAATTACTACGATAAAATAATTTTCCTTAATATTGAGAGCACATCATAATAAATACCAGTGCTTTTCATTATGATATGTCAGTTTCTAATAAACAAGAGTACAGGAATCAGCAAACCAACTGTTCATTATGGCGATACCGAAAATCAATTATTTGTACCTAGAAGCAAAAACGTAACATTAGCAACAGTATAGCATGAAACAGCATGAAACTGCACATAGTTACAACACACTTTACTCGATTACTCTACTGAAAGATGCTTGTAATTTAGTATATCGATTCATTAAGCCTTTTCAGAGACAAAATATTACTTTAGCATTTATTAACTCGTGAAAATGTTCTCTCCCAGATTTTCACAGCAACTTGACGGATTCTTTCTGGAGATTAATGGAAAATGTACATAGAATTACCATTGAATATATTAAACACACCGGGCTCCCTCATGTGCTGTAACCACAAAACACAAAAATTAAGTAGTGCAATTTTATGTAATTTTAGGAAATGTAAACAAGGCGTTTCATCACAAACATTCTAATTTAAAAAATCTATCTTCACTAGTTCAAAATACATTATTTCAATTTGAAGATTATGATTTCACCTACCATATCTAAAGGAACTATTATACAAATCAATTCGAATTTCTAAACAAACGGCGAAACTCAATCCCTTCCAGTAAGATTTTAAACATTCCACACCAGCATATGATTTTAGTTCAATATCCAATATATTAGGGGATCGTATGATGTTACTCCCAATTCGAATTAACCTCTCACAAAACAATTATCATACATAGTACTGTAGTCTGTGGGTTTGAAAATAGTTACATTTGCCCAGCCCACAAAAAGTGTTAAAATACCCTGAAAACATTTTGTTCAATAGGTAAAATTTACTAAATAGTCAAAAAGGTACTTTTAGGAAATGAGAAAAAAGACAATTATTGAAAACATAACTGGGAGAGAAACTATTCGCGTAAGACACTGCATTACAGTGTTCAGCCCAGGTGCGACGCACGTTCGTACGGTGAGTGAGCACGGCATGTGAGCATGCCTCCCCGTCAGCACGTCACCACGGCAACGCGACGCCGCGACGGCGCGCCCTCACGTCTGCACGAGTGCACCGGCGGCGCGGGCGCTGGGCGGGGCGCTGGGGTGCCGCTAAGCGGCCCGCGCAGTCGCAGGTGAAACAGCAACAACAGCAACGCAGCAGCAGCAGCCCCAGTGGAGCGCCAGCAGCAGCAGCGCGGCGCGGCGGTCGGGGACGGCGAGCACGAGCGCGAGCGCGAGTGCGAGCGCGAGCGGGGCTCAGCCTGCCGGCGCTGCCTCAGCCGCGCGGCGCGCTGCCCCGCAGAAGTCGGCGTCGGCGGGCGGGCCTGCCGCGGTCGGCCGTCGGCGGCGCCGCTGCCGGCCGGCGCGCAGGACATCCCGGGCCTGCTGCGCCAGGGCGATGCGCACCGCGAGACGGACGAGATCCTCAACGCCATCCTGCCGCCCCGCGAGTGGGAGGAGGACGGGCAGCTCTGGCGGCAGAGCGTGAGTGCACCCACCCACCACATCACATCCCAAAAGCGCTCTTGGCCAGTGTCACAACACGATTTTTCTAGGGGACGGTGGGGGTCTCTACGTGAAATGTTAGCTTGATGTTTGTTAAAATTATATTCTACAATTTTTATTAGATGATTATTTAATTTTGCAACAAAATGAGTGGGAGGTTGATAGATACAGCAAAGAAATCTTGGCGACACTGTTGGCAACGAATGGTATCGAATTACATTCAATACATATTCACCGTTTCTAAGCACATTGTCCACGAATGCCTTAAAAGTCAAGATTTTGCTTGTTAAGTGGGTTTAACACATGCCAGGTAAGTCATGGTGTCCTATCTGAAGTGGTCTGATGAAAGGAGATTTGCTCAATAATTACAAGTCCCTTAAAATTATTATTTCACATAACCGATAGAGAAGTCAGTAAACACAGACGGTTTGATAGCACAGAGGCTTGGAAGAGAGCGCACAAGTACGCAGTCATAAAGTCTGTATGTTGCAATCCGGCGTAAGGCATCAGTGGTTTCAGTTGTGTTTCGAGCACGGGGATCATCACCAGCCCCTGAAGTATTACCTCTATATCCTAATCCTTGTAAACCCCTTGTCGTGCTCAGAACAATGAGCGTAATTCAACTGGTTCCTTACATCCAGAACAACGGAACCAGAACGTAGATGACACATGGGCCACAAGGGTCACACGTACATGACCGAGATGGACGTGATGAGTAGGTTCGGGATGTAAGAGGGAGTCGTCTTTCGGGAGTTATCTTTAGTTATCACGAGGGCTGCCATGGGCTAATGGATGGCTTGGGAGCCGATAGAACACAGCCGTGGAAGGGGGTACGGCGAAACCACAAACTAGACTCGGAAGAAAAGGGAACCAATACGAGAAAGTCAGTGCCATTCTGAATCACAAGTTTCAAAATAAGATTATTTCACTCAAAATTACATGAAAAGCACTCATATTTTAAACACACATCTCATGATTTTATTTAAAGGTGTAATTTTAAAGATAAAACTTCTCTAAGAAAACTAGTGGTGCTACAGAATGGCACAGATTTGCTCTAGCTGGTTGGCTCCTTAATCCCTTTAGTCTAGGCTAGCTACCAGTCTCATTGCACCAGTCTCTTCCCAGGTACTATCTATGGGCGCCTAAAGACAGGTTTTTACACTTTCTCAATTTTTTCGGTCTTCTAATAGAATTGAAATAAGATTAAAATATTACAGAAGAGTAAAACCAGGACCTATGAGCAAATTACCCTTAACAATTTTGAATTCGTTTTTGAGGAAATGTCGTTTCTGAAAGGCACAAATTTGAGCTTGTTTATTAAAAACTTAAAGAGTTTTTCAGAAACATCATGAGAAATCATTTGAAACACTTGTTCTCACAAGTGCAATATGTATAAAAACGCACGTACTGTAAATATTAATGGCGTGGACTAATAATTAAAAAAACATTTTTATAACTTTTGAAAAATCAAAAGAGTACATCAAAATGGCGTTTATGTCATTGCATTTTGTCGGCGCGCTTAGCGTTACCCGTTCAAAAAGTGTAAATAAATAAATTTGAACTTTTTTGAATTTCGAAAAATTGCCGTTATAATACTTTTTCTATGTATTCGACTTGAGGTAGATCGATACGTGTTTCTTCAATCTGGAAAAAATCGTACTTATGGTTTAGGCGCTAGTCGCAGACACCGGACGGACGTTTCGAAAAAAACACATTTTTGGTATCAGGGAACCCCAAAACGTATATTAACGTCGAAAACTCGAAATAGATTTTCTGCAGTATTACATAACTTTCCTTATACTACATAAATTACTCCGCATACTGGAATTTAAAAAAAGCAAGCACTTTCTTTCATTATTTGTGACGGTTACATAATGTAATACTTCTTGCACGCACAAAAGGTTAAAACCCGAACATTTTTCTTGTCCACGCTAAGTTTCGAAGTCATCTACTTAAGATTTAGAAAGCTAACCTCAACAGTGGCAAACTACTCAATACATATTACTACTTCCCCGAAGCTTTAAAGTAATGTTAAACAGGGGCAACCCACATTTACAAAAACAATTACTCGTTTAAATATCTAATTAAGGACAGATTTTTTTAGGAAAATAGAGATGCTTCAACAGTACACACTTTCTCCCATTAATATGTAACTAAGCAATTTTCAAAAATTGAGAATGTTCAACGAAAATGAAATCTGCGCCTTTTTCATAACCGTACTTATTTTTAAGAAAGAAATTTGAAGAAAAAATGGGGAGCCGTTTTTGAGACCACTTTTGATTTCCTAAATTTTATGCAATATTACGCCAAAACTACTCATTTTCGGAATATTGAGCATGATCTTGTTTAAAGATATCATTGGAGAACACACTATATTAAGCAAAAATCTCCATCTTCAATATTGTATTGTAGAAGTCGCCGAAAAAAAATCGAAAATTCAGAAAGTTCAATAAAAACGGTATTTACTTCATTTTCATTCTTTGCTCTATTCACTTTTCTCACATCAGGACTTCACAATAAGATTTTCTGAGGAAAACACACCACTTTCCGGTGCTGCACGATAATTCTCTCACTTTACTAAGTAAGTGCATTGAAAGCAAGAAAGTAATATTTTCCCATTAAATTCGGAGCATTTATGAAAATGCGCAAATTGGAGCTCAATTTCACAGAAAAATTTTATTATTGAGAAACCTCATCTCACAACTTTTGAAGTAATCGTACTTACAAATGCAATATAACAGCTATTTAATTGGCTGTCCGGGTGACGCCACGTTCACAGCGAAGGTGCCGACGTTTCGGTCGCCATTCTGCGATCTTCCTAAGGGCGTAATGCGTATTATTCAGTGCATTTAGCGGATAGATGGACGTACTGAAAAAGAAATCGTTATCAGGGAACCCCAAAATATTTATTTCTGTTAAAATCTCTACATAGATTATTTTACATAACTTTCTCTTAAACAATTCTCACAATAAATACTCCGATGTACATCTACTACTAGAAAGTAGAAAAAACGTAAATGGAATGAAATATGAAGAGTGTGTTACATTTGCAGTAAGTATGTGCTCTTATAGTACCACTAGTTTTATAAAGTTTCATTTGCCATTACCCGACTTCACCGTCAGGCCCCGAAAACTCCAACAAATGCGGGACGATTACCCGCCTCCAAGAACTCCGCTTTTTGGTTTCACGGCACAACTCCGAGGCAACTGTGCCAGTGCTGCGGAAGTATCTTACGGTCCGTTGGGAAAAAGTCAATGCAGCGCTGTTCGTTTGCAGGGGGGGGCGCGAGTTGTTGCTTTTATGACCCGAGGCACATCATTCCGAAGGGAAACAACAGTTTTGCAACAAAGCGCGAGCTTCCAACCCGTGGGGCATTCGCGATGCCTCTGCATTATTCTCGGACGCAACGTAGCAATCGCAAAAATCTCAAGACACTCCGATTCATTCGTCGACATCTTCATAAATGCAGGTCCACTGAGAACTTAGCCCGTACTAAAAGTTTTAAGTTCCCAAAAAAGAGAGGAAAATGAGAATTCATGCACGAAATAAGAATGGAGGAATGCGTTGAAAGACATGCCTCCACGTGGATTAACGGGCCCACTTAATCATTTTACGATAGACTTTGATGGATGTGAAAAGGCAATAACTATGTCGTGCAGTTCAGGTTTTCTGTTTTCATGAGTTTCAAAGTTTCACATTTCAATACATGCGGAAGTTTGTGTAAGATCGTAAGTGAGAATACTCGTTGAATTATTATTGTATTGTTATTATTATATTGTACTGTATTGTTATTTTCATTTTAAAATGCCCCTAGGTTTGCTCATGGCCAGCGTGCTAGCTTTCCTCGGTGCGAATAGAGCTGTAACTTACCATGACAGTCGTCTCGGTCACTAGAGCTGTGTGACGAAAGAAAAGCTCAGCCCGTCCAATTATGCTAGTTACGGTGATGGAAATTCGTCAGGCTGGCCTCATGTCTCCCTCGCCCCCAGGCGTGGATAATAAATAAAAACAGAGTCCAGGCCTGGGAATACCGCTAGCTGGCAAATCTCGGATTAATCCTACCCTAAAAAGCCAAATACATACATACATACATACATACATACATATTTTCGACTGAATTCTGACCTGAGATTACGTACCCTATAGTATTACAAGAGTAAATGAAAGTCTTTATTCCGTAAGTAGTCTTTCATGACACCACTTTGTGCAAATTTGAAAAAGGGAAATTGACTCTTTCCTAATCACTATCCTGCAAAGTCAAGCATATAAGTAAATAGTGTTCATTTTAGAGAACAGATAATGTAATGAGGTTTTTTGAAGCAAGTTATTCTGAGAATTTTAAACTGTCGTTTCACACGATTCCGTTGTTTTAGTGCAACCTGATAGCTCTTAAAATATTATCGCACACAAAGAGCAAGATATTCGAATCTACAATATCAAAAATTTTGCGAAACTGCTCATATTTAAAAAAATGAACACTTTCATTAAATATCAAATTTTGACGAAATCATTTCATTAAGTAAAAAAATCTGTGCTACGAATATTGCAGTTTTGCAATGCTATTATTATTATTATTATTATTATTATTATTATGCAATTTTTGAAAGTTCACCGAAAATGGGACTTCTATCTGTGGAAAAAATATAAAGAAAAAGTTTGAGCAGTCTTTGAGGAAATGCTTTCTTTATCTATTACATTAATTTCACACAGAAACTACGTGAAAATACTAATTTAAAAAAGAAATTGTCCATGGTCATTTTAAAGATCTTTTTTAGAACAAATTTATTGAAGCCAAAAAATCTACCTTCAAAAGTGTACTTTGACCATGTTAATTTTTTGCAGTTTTGGAAAATACAGTGTTAGCGGAAACTGGACCAGCACCGCTTTTTATACCGTCCTTCAGATACATATGAAGAGAAAATTTAAAGAAAAAATTGGAGAAAATTTTGAGAAAATAATTGTTTAAAAATTGCCCAATATTTCACGCAAAATTACGCGAAAACTTTTTCGAGAATAGTTTGATAATGCTATATCATTTTACCCCCCCCCCCAAAATCAAAATCTCGAAATATGAATTTTTAAGTAAATTGTCTGAAGTGTTTAGGGCCTAGCGTTGACCTCAGACACACACGTGTTGCCGTCAATTGACTTTTCGGTATCAAGGACCCACAAAACATGGATTCTAACGTGAAAGATGAAGTAATTTACTAAACAGAACACAATGTATTCATTTTTTTCCCTATCAGAGTCTCGCAATAAACGTTTATCGGGAAATCACCGACGTCTGACGCACGATTACAATTCTTTATCGTCTTACAAAGTAAGGCGAAAAAGTAAAAGTTATAGAAAAGGGGACTGGGGCGAAAACCAAAACACCCGAGAATGGTAGAGGGTAGGATGAAAGCGTGGAACCGTGTTGCATCCTGCGCAGGTCTCCAATACCCCAGCGACCCGCCTAGATGTCATCAACCTCCAGGAGCAACTGGACATGCGGCTGCAGCAGCGGCAGGCGCGTGAGACCGGCATCTGCCCCGTGCGCCGCCAGCTCTACACCCAATGCTTTGGTGAGGCCGCTTCTTCCTGGCCCGCGCCCGCGCCCCGTCCGGGGTGCTATCATGAATATCTCTGGCAAAGGCTAGGGCCTCCCGGAGTTTTAGTTTAAACCAGAATTTTAAAATTAATTTGCGCACAGTATGAAGTGTGGAGGGGGAAATTCCACGCAAGCTGGCGCCGGGTCTCACCATCCGGCGATGGAGAAATCACAACCACGACCCGGGAGAAATATTCTCTACGCTATCAGAACAAACGGTCGTCATTCACGAATTCATCTGCCTATAAACTTAGAAAACTATTCAACGCGAAAAAATAAAGATGCATTTACTTAGATAAAAGCCATTCTTAATCTCAACATACCTCACTTACTACTTACTCTATAATTCTAATTAAACCAAATATTTTCTTGTTACGGTTATAAGCTGCAGACTATGTTGAGAAGGCTCAGAAAAACTTGATTGACTGACGTTTACGAGCATCACAACTGCTCTAGTCATTAGTCCCGCTCGCATAGTGGTTTTATCCTATGAGGTGGCGGTGATTCTTCTCTCGCTAGATGGTGAAGTCCGGCGCCAGCCTAAGTCGGCTGGCGGAGAATTCCTCCACCCAAGTATCTCCCTCAGCGAGGCAAGTTGTAAGTTCCCATGTTGGTAATGAAGTACCTGCGCGCGCGCGCGCGTGTGTGTGTGTGAGGGGAGATGGTGGGGCAGGAAGAGAACGGAAAGATCGTACATGGTATGAAGCCAAGGTGCTACGGTTCTTCTCCGACGTTCGCCTAGTTTTGATCGGAGAAACCACGGGAAACTTCCAATCACAATCGCCAGGTGCTAGAATTCTCCTCGACACAAAGGGTGAATTCGACTTAGCTACCGTATAGCCAGTGTCGAAAATCCACCAGTCGCCACTCGAACCCTATGATCGGTCCCTCCAGACCCCAGTCGGCTACTCGAATCAATGACGCTGCAGAGTTCCAAATTATCTCACTTTCTTCCTTACACTTGTTTACCTACTTGTGGTTTTGAAGTTGTAAAATCTTATCTGTCAAGAAGTAACAACATTAATAACTTTTCCAAATGTGTACATACCAACCAGGAGAGTCCTCCTTCAAAATGATGCAGGGAACTTCATCCAAGACTGGATCTTTACTTTCAACATACAGCATTTTTTCTAGGAATTAATACACATTTGATTATATACATTACATGCTCAATTTTAAATCATGTGTTTAATAAGGCACGTCCAAATCAGATATTTTCTATGTTTGGCAGAAAAAGGACATGGGTTAAGCATTAACTTAACTTTTTAAAATTTACCAACAAAATTATATCCAAAAATGCCTCTGCTTTAGATTAAAAAAAGAAATCCAATAACAACAACAAGAGTATTGAAATATTATTTCTGCAAAGTTTTTTTTTAACCTGCGAGCACTATGTTGACATACATTACAATTAAATTGCATCAAGCTGCGCCCAAGTTGCAAGGGGTGAAGCGCATCATGTGACGCGGAGGCCGTTGGGCGGTGGCGCCCATTGCTGCAGATGAGCTCATCCGGCAGGTGACCATCAACTGCGCCGAGCGGGGGCTGCTGCTGCTGCGCGTGCGAGACGAGATCCGCATGACCATCGCCGCCTACCAGACCCTCTACGAGAGCAGCATCGCCTTCGGCATGCGCAAGGCACTCATGGTCAGTTGCGCCCAGCCCACCACTCCTTCGCCACATCAAATTCAAAAACTAGTCGTGTCACAGAATGGCACAGACGTTCTCGTACTAGTTGGTTTACTAATTTCTTTTGTCCGGGCTAACCTTACGGACGTGCCCCATCCTCTTACCAGCCGCCATCTATCGCCGCCTAAAGTCTATAATTTTTTCGGTTTACTAATGGTATATTTGAAATATTACTTGACTATTAAAAAAAAAGAGTATAACCTCGCCCTATATAGAAATTTCCGTTCAAAACTTTGGAGCCGTTTGTATGAAAATATCGTTTAAGCCTCAATGCGAATCGTTTAAGCGTCAATGCGAAATTTGAAGCTCTTTTTCGCAGAAAACTTTTCAGTTTTCGAAAAACTTTATTGAAAGTAATTTAAAGCACTTTACTCACAAATGAATTAATATTATATTAAATTAAAAAAAACTTTTGTGTAATTTTTGCAAAAACAAAAGTATACAACAAAATTAACTTTACGAGTATGCCATTTCAAAGAGTGCAGCTAGCACTATCCGTTCGAAAAGTTTGAAGAAAATATTTGGAGCCGTTCTTGAGAAAAAATCCACATTCTCACATTCTTCTTGACCGAATTTTCACTGAGGTAACAAAAGCCATGGAATATACTGAGTTGGACCTCGTTTTGCTCGGCGAAGTACAGCAGACTTGGCATGGACTCAACAAGTCGTAAGAAGTCCCCTGCACAAATATTGAGCCATGCTGCCTCTGTAGCCCTCCATAATTGCGAAAGTGTTGCCGGTGCAGGATTTCTTGCACGGACTGACTTCTCAATTATGTCCCATAAATGATAGAAGGTATTCACGGCGGGCGATCTGGGTGACCAAATCATTCGCTCGAATTGTCCAGAATGTTCTTCAAACCAATCACAAACAATTGTGACCCGATGCATAGCTATCCATGAAAATTCCATCGTTGTTTGGGAATGTGACGTCCATGAATGACTGTAAATGGACTCCACGTAGATAAACATAATTTCCAGTCAATGATTGGATCAATTGGAAAAGAGAACCCAGTCCATTCCATGTAAAACCGGCCCACACCATTATGGAGCCACCACTAGCTTGCACGGAACCTTGTAGCCAACTTGGGTTCATGGCTTCGTTGGGTCTGCCATACTCGAACCCTACCATCAGCTATACCAACTGAAATGGGGACTCATCTGACCAAGCCACGGTTTTCCAGTCTAAGGTCCCAACGATATGATCATAGGACCAGGAGAGACGCTGTAGGCGATATCGTGTTGTATAGCAAAGGCACTCGAGTCTGTGTTCTGCTGTCGTAGCCCATTAGAGACGAATTTCGCCGCACTGTCCTCACATAAGTTCATCGTACGTGTCACATTGATTTCTGTGGTTATTTCACGCAGTGTTTATTGACAGCAATGACAACTCTTACGCCAACGGCGATGCTCTCGGTCATTAAGTGACGGGTGAAGAAAATCGAAGCAGTGTTGGTTAGGAACCGGAAATCATTCCGTTACCAAAATATTTGATTAGGGGACGTGAACTTCAACTGGAGAAGACAAATACCTACTTTGGGAGACGAGATCTGCGGACAAGGCAGCAAAGACATGCTCCAATACCTCCAAATTAATACCAAATGTGGGAGGCCCAAGTAATGCGAAGCGTGGAATGATCTCTTGTTAATCCCCAAATGCAGTATGAAGTCCTAGTGTAGGTTGATAAATTCGGGAAGGCTTGCGTGTGATCAAAGAACGCGCAAGTACAAAGTAGTTTGGCCCTGAGAATAGTGTAAGCTTACCGCACGGTCTCTGTCAGCGCAGTAAGCGCTCCGGCCTTGCCCGGTTTTACATACAAGCACGTCTTCGAGGCCCCAGGGCTGATCTATTTTTCTTTTCTTTTTTTAAAGCGGAGAGTACATCTCTATATATGTCAACTTTTAGTAACAGACATTTTTTTGGTGCGGGGGGCTCCACCCCTGAGATCTGCTTGGGGGCCCCGCGGACCGTAAATACGACCCTGGTTCTGGCTAGTGCCTCCCCTGCCTATAGATCTGATGATGAGACAAAGGAAAGCGTCTACGACGAAAAGAAGACACTCGCTGACCCCTTTCGCGACGGACATCTGCATAGGACGAAAGACATCAAGAAAAGGGAACAGACGTCCCTCCAGGCAGAACGAGAAGAGAGATACCAAAGGAAGACTCACCTTTCTTTAAGAAGATACCGCGTATCTAAGCGGTTCAACAAAGGCCAAGGGAAGATAAATTGCTACATTTCCCAAGTGCTCCCTGGTAGCTTTCAATCTTGTCTGTTTAGATTTAAGAGAACAGTCGGCCCTAAATAATAATTTTGTGGGTACGAAGATGCTGGTGTAATTAATACAATATCTAATCGCATAGCATGAGGTACTCTGAGAAGAAAATTTGACTAAGCCTTGAACGTGTTCATCTCCCCATTTAATATGCTACAGCTTATACTCAAATCGAATACATGGTAGAGCACAACCTCATTTTCATCATGAAAAGAAATAATAATAATAATAATAATAATAATAATAATAATAATAATAATAATAATAATAATACCATAGGGCCTGCTCTTCCGCCTAACCACTGAATTACATACATTTAGAGTAGTAACATTTTAAGAGGGGAGGACAAGCTGTACATTTACATCTGGGAGAACAAATCTAAGGACCATCCCGACATACGCCTTAAGCGATTTGAGTAAACCCAGAAAAACCTCAATCAGGATGGCGGCTTAGGGCCGAACATTAATAGAAAAGAAGAACGGCTCCGTTTTTAAGATGAAGCAATAGCTCACCTACCTGCCTGTCTCTCCATGAAGTAATGTCTCGCTACGGTTTCCGTGGAGAGAGGCGTGGGTACAAGAGAGGTTTTCTTGGATGAGAGTTCCACATACCAGGAATGGTCCAACTTATCCCTGTCTGTGCATAAATCATTTTCCCATTGCAAAAAGATAATAATTCAATAATAATAATAACTTACACATTGGTATTACTCGTAAGAAACAGCTATACAGGTTGAGTCAAGTAACTTTAGCATATCCTGTAACTTTTGAACAGTTGAAGTTATTTCAATGCAATTTTCTCTTAAGTGCATGACGGAATGGGGCTAATTGATATGTGTATTTCCTTATATCAGGACATAAAATTAATGTCTGTTCTGAAAGGCATTGTACTAAAGTGAAAAGTCCATCCTCTACTAATAACTCTACATTAACAGTCTAGTATCTCCACTTTTTTATTTCTTTGAATTTTCTAAGTCGTTATACAACACTTCTCTCAGCATGTCTTGTACTAGGGCCAAAATAAGGTGTTGTCCTCTCCTTTGCCTTTTGCCAGTGTAAAGCATTTTAAATTATTTTCTACTACAATTTGCACATTGGCTAAGAGTAAACTTTTCATACTTTCCAACAGAAAACAATGCATGCATATAGAAGTGTTTCACTTGAGCACTTCACAAATAAAACCTTGTAATTAAATTAATATGTATTTATTGCACAATTTTTGATATCCATTATATCTCCCTTTCATTGCCATTTTAATATGAATACATACTCAGCGACAGATTGGTGCAAGAGGCTCTGAAAATTATCCAAATAAGGGGTCCCTAGTAATGTTGAAATATTAAAGCTCTGTAATGAAAATTAACAATATTTGCACTTTAAAACAAATAGTTTTTTAATTATTGATCTATTATAAAATTTTGTTTAGAAGATCACTGAGAGAGCCTATCCAGATTGTGGGATTGAGCACATCCTTACTCTGCTTATGCATCAATCTATCCCAGTATATTCTTAATTTTGCAACTGCTTTCAACTACTCGCATAGTCGTTTTATTGTCATTTTAATATGAACATGGGAAATGTAGGTTTTTTGATTTATCTCAAAGGTAAGTAAATTATTTATTGATTTTAGTCTCTTTTTCCCAGTCTGAACAAGGCAAAGCAGATCTTGAAACTACGGTCGGGACACTGGTAAAACAGAAGAGTGAATTTGAGCGTCAAGTAGTAGAATTACGAGCTAAAGCTGAACAAATTGAACGGAGAGCAAAGGAATTACAGCAAGCAGAGGAGAAGAAACATGCAGAGGAGATTGATTTCTTCAAGAGAACTAATCAACAACTCAAGGTATTAACAACATGGCACTTAAATAACTTATTTACTATTTATAAATTTTGTCTTATTTAAAATTTTACTTTTAACTTAATTTTTTTTACTTACAATATTTCCAAAAAAATTAAACTGAGCTGTAAGTCATTTCTTTTCTATTTCAGTCACAACTGGAAGGAATTATTGCACCCAAGAAATAGAAAAATCTATCAATATGTCTCATTCAAGTGTCAAATATTTCAATTTCACAACCAAGGGGCATGGCAATCTTTTCCTATAAATATGCAGGCATTCCTGGATGTGACTCTGGCATGATGAATATGCTTGAAGATAACTAAATGACAGCTGAAGTGCAAGCTAAACGTCAATAACTTCAAAATGTTGTGATATCAATGGAGAGGGCAGAATAAATACACCGTATTAGTCAAGTATAGATATATAATTTATAAAAGGACAACAAATTTGAAACTGTCACTGTATGTTCTTGCAATCCCAACACCATGGACCAAGATGAGGCACAGCAGTTTAGAAGTACAAGTCGCAACAAAACAGTACAATTACACATACTCTATTTTCATTCGTACCTTTTTCAATACTGTAAGATAATTGTTACTTTTCTAATTACAACGTTTAAAAAATGAATCTTATGATGCACTCATATTCACATATATTCGTTCACTCACACATGCATACAAGTCTACTACTGTACAGTATCTAATTCAGTCATGTGTCAAGAATGATTCACTGCTAACTAGCAAACAGCATAAATAGATGAACCAATGTATTCCACTCGAGCAAACAAGTGGATAGCATGTAACATGATACAATAACTTAGAATAGCACCACTGTTGCCACAACATCTATCAATCCAGTTTTAAAATAATACAGTAAATTCTTAATTTTACAAATACAAAACAACTGTCGCAAATTTCTACATCTGACATGTTAGTGTAAGTCCACCTGGTGTTGATTGCAAATTAGCTACAACAAGCAATGATTAAATCAATTTACAACATTTCATAAAATGAGCTCAGCAGATATGCTGCTGTCATCTATTGCTCTGCCTTATGAAAGCAGTAACCAGTAAAAGGATTCTAACATGTAATCACACACAAGAAAATAGCAGGAATCATCAGAGATATAAAATGTTTTTCACTTATCATACACAAGGTTATTTCTTTATAAAATCAATTTATGTTTTGTCTCATCCACAAAGTAACTAGACTGCTGAATGGTGATGAGGCAAATGGAATTTTTACCTACTCTGGGCAGAACATTTTGCTCTAATTGCTGCTTCTGCCAAGAGTAAGAACACTAACACAAAAGAGTAGTATTAAAGGCTTCAGAAGCCATCACTCACTTTCTTGCACCCATCATACAATATGAATTTACTTTGCTCAACTTAATTCTAGGTGAATGTTGCATTTGTACATTTATATTCCTTATTGAAAATATACACAGTTCTTTGTTAAATAACTCTATATGCATAAGAAACAAAATAAAAATCCACAAAACCCTCAAACCTTAATGTCTGTGATGCATCTTGACAGATTCAGAAGTTAAAAAGAAAAAACTGCATCAAAAATAGGTACATTTATATATTACTCCAAAAAGATATAAAAGTAGGACTTTACAAGAGAAGTTTGCTGTAGATCATAATCATAATAAGCAATTTGTTTATCATGGAAACACAATTACACGTTCCCAACTGTAAACAAAGACAATGTCTCTGACATTCTTACATGATATGGGCTAACAGCAAGCCTCTCAAAAGGTGATGTTTCTGACTTGCCACAATAATACCACCAATCACAAACAGTGGTCAGCTGAACTGTTCACTACTGCTGTTTCAACACTACTCGATTCAGTTTTCCAATTACAAAGGAAACCATTAGAATGGATGTTAACTGGATATCTAGCTTATCAATAGGAATGTCATAAACTGTAATACTTCACTTTTTTGTAATTCAGTCAAAATATAATGTGAAACAGATCGCAAATGACATTCTAGGAATATCATAGTACACAGGAAATAATAAAATTTCTCTTTAACACCACTGCTCAATTAGGAAAATATGATTTCATGAATTCAACTAATCATTTTTTTTTAACTGTACATTTATGGCAATTTTTTTTTTTAACCTGTTTACAAATGTACGCAGAAGAAACAAGTTTCAATTCCTGACTGCACTGGAATCAATAACAAATGTGCACTGCCAAAGCAGGGCAAAAGGAATAACAAGCTCATTGCTTGACTTGTGGCATGATATTCCTTACCCTGAGAATGACACTCGCACAAACACACTACACACATGAAAAGGACTGCAATCTAATGACGACCTTTCTTTGACTTCTTGCGACGTCTTCGACGATTACTGCCTGGTTCTTCTGAAGGGGTGGGAGAGACAGGGGTGGTAGGGGGAGAATCATGATCTCCATCTTCTTCGTCACCTTCACCATTTAGTTCTCCGCCATCAGGAGCAGATAATTCAAGGGAGATAATCTTCTCCTTCAAAGTCTCCACCTGTACAAGGTATGGTGTCAAAGGGAAATCAGGTTAGGGCAATATACTTCAATTTCCTCTACAATTTCTCACTATCTTCCAACTGCTTTTTTTAAAAAGTTTTCAACAAGCTGAACAAGTGTAAATATCCATGAGAAAAACAAATAAACATTTTTACATTAAATGGTTTCTTTCCTTCACACTAATATATCTCTTTTCCAATTTTGAAATGAAACTTCAGAACATAGTATTACGCTACATCTAACTATTAAAGCAGGTACATTAAACTTTTTTGTAATAAACTAAGACAAAGGTTAGTCAAAAATACATCAATAAAGCATATTTTAATTATTATCATGTTAGTTGATTGTAGTTAGTTTCAAAAAATTGTATCATTCCATGCATAATAAATGCAGATCAAGCCCTACCAAAAAATCTGCATGCAAAAGTTACTAGCAATTGTGTCCACTATTTCTACTAAAAAAATACTAAAGAACAATAGTTATCTAAATTGCCTTGAAAGAAATTGATTTTGGAAGATAAATTAAAAATACATGCACTCAAAAAAGGAAAGTTCAAAAGGTGCTGATCGACAGGGAAAGGTTAAGGTTCTCAAAAATCTTTCTTGCACTACAAATCCTGCAAATAGAAGAAAGAATATGGTTCCTAAATGCATAAAACAGAAAAGTCAAAGACCAAAATGCAAAATTCAAAATAACAAATCCAAATCTGCAAACCAAAACCAAAGCATTTGAACACAACATATAAAGGACAAACATGCAGAGACCACTCAAATCACCACAAGGTAATATTTGGATACAATAATGGACTGAAGGAAATCAATGAGGTAGAGGGAGAGAAAATTGACGTGCGAAAAGAATATCTTACTTCAAATGAAACTCTGAAATTTTGCAAGAGGAATATCTAGAAGACATTTTCCTACATGAGTGCAATTTTGTGTTCTGTGATACTCAATAATAAGGGACATTACTAAAGTACATTTAGCACTGACATTCACACAGGCCTTCAAAATGTACTTTAAAAATGTCCAGTGTCACTTGTCTTACGATGTTCTGTGATTGTTAGTAAAACCTGACTAGACACAAGTACCTCTTTTTCAATCAGCTTTTCTACGTATTCAACGGTGCGGACACGCAACTCGCCCGTTTGCTCGTCAACAAACTCCTCTGTGCGGCGGGTGACTGTTTCTCCCACCACGCGCTCAGACTCGCGCACCTTGGTGGCTCCCTCCTTGGCACGCACCGCCAGCTTAGGAAAATCATCACTAGAGGGCCGGAGGGGGGCCACACAGCGGGGCTGAAGGGCAGAGCAGGGGGGTTACAATAGGGAGCCCATTTGGGACAAACAAGTGCATTGGCGAGAACATACAGGATGAGGTGATCAGTGTGGACATGTCTCTTCATGCTACTCTGTTTACAACAGGAGGGAGCAACTGATAGGAACTAAACAATTGTTAAAATACTGCACACTTTAGAAAAATTATAATTTGATGAGTTAAAACCATCCCACAACAGGCATTGCAAGTGTGCCTGGGATACATGGAGGAATGACTCCACAATTTCTGTAAAAAATATTCCCAAGCAAGACGAAGCTTGTTGCCTTAATAATACAACTTCACCATAGAAACCAAGCACCAGTGAGGACATGCCCTACACTGATCAACTCATTCCAAACCACACAGGCACTACATATTTCACTGAGACACAACCACACCCAGGGTAGGTAGGACTCTCAACAGCTCCCCATTTCCCACATTCAGTCTCTGATTGTTCAGTCACATTTCGGATTTCTGCAAGACTTAAGATCAGGGATTGCAGGTGGGCATATACTTCCGAGCATTCACATATATATTACACCAACCACGTATACAACCAGACCCTACATTCCTTTGTTCCAACCACAGGCTGCAAAAAACACTAAACTGTACAATGACTAAACTGAAAAAACAAGCACACAATTGCTTCAACAAAATAAATTATCAGTGCCTAAAAAGCCTGCCTATGTATGTCTAATATTAATATTCTAACGCACAAATTCAAATTAGTTGTGACACTACATTCTACAGAGAAATAGATCACTGATGAATTATCCAAATATAAATATGTAGTGAATGCAACTATTAGGTATCTACTTATGGTGAAAATATACATCATTACTCACAAGTTAATATTATGCGGGATCTGAAATTTGAATAAAGTAGTGCTCACACATCGTGATTAATGTATTACCAATGCAAATGAAAGTATTAGTAATTCTTTTACGATCAGTTAAGTCAATTAGGCATTCAACAACAGTAAACTGTTACTTGTATCCGACATCAAAATTAAAATTGGTTGCAATTATCATAGTATGTGACCACATACCCCAAGTTCGAGCTGGTTAGGAGACAGTGTATCAAAATTTAAGGCCGCCTACCTGATTATTTTCTTGATCAGTGGTGCCATTCTTAGTAGGTATTGGGGCAGATTCACCTTCTGGGCTCTTAGAATCTATCATTTCACTCATTTTCTTGATAACCATCTGTGCTTGTAGAGCATCCTACAAACACACAGAAAACTAGGTCTGGATCCTAAATTTTAACCCAATTTTTTGTTATAATAACGTCATTACTGTTACACACATTTTTGTTTCTATCATTTATGCATCAAGTCAAATTAAACATTTTGGCAAAAAATAAAATAAAATGATGTTATATTGGCATTAAAAAACAAAATTACTTATTTCAAATATATCTTTGCTATATAATGTTTTGTGATCATTATTAACCGCTTGTTTCTCTGATTCAACAGATATGTTGAGGTATCCAATAGAGAAAAAAAAGATTTTACTGCATTAACAATGAATTTACCACAATGATATTTCCATGAGATGTTGCCACACGTGATAATATTATTTTAAGTGAATCTATACAAACACACTGGAATTTAGTTATTAGCTTCAAGTTATACTTGATTATTTCCTGCTCTGATGCAAATATCAGTTTGACTTAAGAAATAGTAACTACCCCCTACTGCCTTGTCCCCTTCTTCCAGACCATGAAATAAACAGACAGGACTACATACAAATAGTCACCATAAACAATAGCTTGCTTACAACCAAAATTAAACAATAAAAATATTTCACAAACTTAGTACTGTACAATTCACATACATTTGGAAGACAAAACAGTACACAAGCCAAAACAACACCATAAAAATTAAAAGAACCCATAAAACACAACATTAAGCTTCTCAGATTTATCACAGACCATTATTAAATGAGCAATTTTGCACATGTTTCACAAGTAAATTTATACAAAAAGAAATTAAAAGTAATTGAAATAAAATTTCTAAAATAAATTAATTTTTTATTTACTGAATGAATATTATGTGTTGTGATCTTCAGGTCTAATGGAACAGGTGGTACAAGGTTAACACTAGACCAATAATTATTTATAATTGAAAATAAATTAATTATTTCTTGGTACCTCAAGGGAAATGCAACTAAAATTTCCTTTACCTGTTCCAATGATTTTAACCGTGCCTGTCGCCATGCAGCTCGTTTTTCAGCTCGCAAAGCTCTAGCCTCTGCAGGGGAGAGTTCCTTTTCATCTTCATCAGTAAGAAGACCCTGAAAGTCATTGACATGTCCACTTCAATTCACTGACATTTAATACATTCCCAAACAAATTCCACTCATTTTGTATATTTTAAAAAAGCAATTTGGAACTCACAAGTACCAAAGTTGCACAACACTAGTTTACTAACATTTTAGGTACTGGTAATTATTTTTAATCTGATTTATTCCATTTCCCCACAAGGACAGAAAACAATTTTCAATACCTTTTGTCTCTCTCTCATGCCAGAAGTATGTCAATTATTGTTCTGCGATTACAAAATAAATATGGCAAAACAGATTTTAGAAATCAGGGACACACTAATACACTGAAAAGACCATTTGGGAAGTCATACACAAGATTAAATAGTTGTATTTAACTATAAGTTTAACATCTATCATCTGCAAGCAGCTGAAATACATAATTGCTGAGTGTATTATACGAGTTTGAAATAAAACTGAATGGCTATTTCAAAATCAATACTTTGTTCATGAGATGAAATGCAGATTAAAATATTCTGTAGATCTATCTAGACAGCTTATGGAACTGGGAGTGCAGATATAAAATGGAATGAAATTCAGAAAAGAGTAAATCTCACTATTTTCAAAATATCTTGTATCCCGTATTATAACATTTTCATACACTCATACAATTTGAACAAAAGAAAATAAAGTGTACTATTATTTACTATCACTTTTAAAATACACCTACCTCCTGAGCCATTCTTTCCTTTAATCGTCGCTCTGCCTTTGCAGTTCGAACCACACCTGGGATGGAAGTAGCTGGCCTATTACACATAAGATTTGTCAGTAAGGGAAGTGTATTGGTTACATATACTATATATATATATAATATATATATATATATTATATATATATATATATATTATATAATATATAATATATATATATATATATAGATATATATAAGCTATAAGATAGCACATGCAAATGACAATGTCAAAAATGACAAGTTAAGAAATCTTCTTAACATTTTAGGAACATATAAGAATGACCATAAGGTTGCAAAACCACCTAACCGCACTAGGGTCTGGGTTCCTCATCATCATCTTCAGTTATCATCCTCTTCATCAACTGTGCCCAAGATTGAAGTTCATCTCTACTCAAAGAGCAATTTCTTTCTAGAAAAATCAATTCAGAGTTACAAATTCTAAAAACTGAAGACTAACCTTCAACACCTAGCCACACAAATAGTTCATCATATGCTTACCTTCTTCTTGTTTCCATCTTTCAAACTTCATCTTTACTTAAAAAGCTTAAAGGCTTTCTCGAAATGAAAATTTTTTGTGGATGAAATATTTGATGTTTTTTACATTTTGTATATTAACTGAAAACTTTTGTTTAATTGTTTTCTTAATGAATGATACATAAGTAATGACTGTACTTTAACCTGGTTTTGGTGATGGTTTGATGTCTGCTCCACCATTGCTTTTTCAAAGAATTTCATTCTTCACTCACTGAAGACTTATTAGGGGGTGGTGCTGGCAGCCCCTTACAATATACAAAACTTATTAATCCCAATCTCCATTTCTTTTCTCCTTTTTTAAACTGGAATACAAAGGAATTCCTTCTCCATGACGCAGCAGTAGCTTTTTTAAAATTAAATATTTAGAAAGGAACAAACTAACTACTAAATTCAAAACTACTACAGTTTCTAGAAATACTCAATTGTTGCTTCACCTGCGAATAACAGAATACAATTATCAGCATTAGTTCACAAAGTTAGCATTAAAATTGTGAACAGGTGAACTTAACCTACAGAATGTTGCCAAATATATACGTATTAGCTTATTTTCATGCAGTAAGAAGAATCATTCCATCCTCCACCAGTTGCCATTCACAAAATCCCAACTAATAGTACAGGAGAAGACTGCTCATAATGTAATATTGTAATACGCATTTTAAATTCAGTAATCGAAAACATCAAAGTAAAACTTTTTTTTAAAAATCATGCTTAATTATCCATTGAAAAGTATAACAAAAAACGAATTTTGACATCAAAGAAACTATTGTTTTACTCCTCCTCAGAGGATACATAAACTGATTTAAAACAATTTGTTCCATACAACAGGGTCTCCTCCAAACCATGAGGGATAAAACAAGGAAGATAGAGGAACCTTAAATAAGGATACCTTTCTCATCATGTACAAGAGAAAGAAAAATGTCAACCCAAATGCATATAATAACAAATAAATTTTTGAATGAAAATGAAAACGAAAAGCCAAAGGCATAAAATTGATGATTGGAATGCTGCAGCGGGTGAGATTGACAGCTGGCCGACCGGGATGGGGTTGAAAGGGGGCGATGGGGCGGGGAGCGGCTTGAAGACCCCTGCTGCAGGCGCGCGTCGGAGAGCGCGGCCGGGCCTCACCCACCTACGGCCGGGCTGCTCCTGCGCCCCCGGCGGCCGCGCCGCCGGGATGCGCCTGCAGCCCTATTGGGCGTCCAGCAGGATCCTCCGAGGAGGAGTTACGGCGTCGGCTCGTCTGCGAGGGGCGGCGGGCGGGCCGGAGGCCCAGCGTGGAGTACCGGCGTGTACAACGTTTGCTAAGGAAACGGGCGGCGGGGGACTCCGCTGCGGCTGCTGCCGCCGCCGCCGCCGCCGGGCGGACCGCGAGCTCAAAGCCCCCGGCCACTAGTGGCCGTTGGGCTTGCGGCCGCTCCACACCCGTGCTGCACGGGCGCGCCCTACGCTGGAGCAGGCGCCCTCCGGGAGGCGCCGGCGGGCGAGAACGGAGGGGTGCGGGCGGTGGGTGTCATACGAGGGGGCGGCCGCGGCGAAGGTGACGGCACGTTACCACGGCGGGAGGCGGAGCGGGGAGGAGAGTAAGGACGGGCGCCAGTGTGAGGGTGCGACAAGGTCCATGTTCGGTGGGGGGCGGGGCGCCGCGGCGGGCAAGCGGCGGGCTGTCGGGAGGGGCGGGACGGCGGGGAGGCGCGCGCGCGCATTACTGTTGATGCTTGCAGCGGGGACGGGAAGAGAAGTGCCGGCGCTGGGGCGTAGCGTGCGGGGAGGAAGTTGGGGGGGTGCTTGCGGCCGGAGGTGGGCGTGTCGCGGCGGGGTGAAAGGCGGCGGGTGCCGGAGGGCAGACCGAACGCGGCCGTGGGCGGCGGGGCGGGCGGGGTGGGGCGTTGCGCGGGCAGGGCGCAACGTGCTGCCACGGCAGCGTGGCGTACGCGCTTGAGCCGTGCATGCGTGGCGGCTCGTGGCGCGGCAACGTGGCGGCGGGCGCGATCGGGGAGTGAGGGGTGCTCAGAGCCGGGGGCCTCTGACTGCCGGAGACGGGCTGCGGGGAAACAGCAGGAACACACCATGCCAGGATTAGTCTCCACTCGCCACACAGCACCATCAAGAAAAGTCAATTTGTATTACTACATTACGTACATTACTGGAAAGGAAAATATTTTCACATCCTGAGAAATTAATATTTTGGTTAGTTTATAAATATTTCAAGTGTTAATAATACTTATATGACATCCATAGGTAAGTTTTTAATGAAGTCAATGTAAGATGTGTGTTCAAACAAAATAGATCACCTTACAGCACGAAATATTAAAGTAAACTGTCTTGCATTAAGATCTGCAACTAAAATTTTGTTATGTCATATAAGTATTCTCCTTTCGTCTGCTTTCATGAAGGGGGAAAAAAAGGCATAAGCTAAATATTTTGAAAAGTACATCAATTAAATATGAAGCAAAAATGAAGGGACATTACATGAAAGCAAAATAAAGGAGACTAAGGGGCCCCACACAACCATAGATGAGTAACTGAAAGAAAAAAAATTGTCAAATAAAAAGTGTGAGAGGAAGTTCTCAAGACGTTAACAAATTATTTTGCTCTTACAACAACTACAAAATATGTCTAGGTTAGTCCTCAGAGTAATGCACCAACTTAGTAAAATATGTTTCAGGAGCAGCCAAATAAAGAAAAATCCCACAAGTAAAACAGCAAGGCACCTTCAAAAAAGCCTCAATTAAAGAAACTATGTATTACATCGATATTGTAAAATTTGTTTAATGTTTTGTTTGTTTGTTTGTACGTTGTTTTTTTTATTTCTCCTACCTTGGAGTATGCATGAACAGAAATTAGGACGAAATATTAATAGTAATAATAATAAATATATTTTTTTTTTACATTTTAGGTAAAGTACAAATAACAAGTAAGACATCAGGCTTAACATTTTGTCATTGTAAAATAATTCATAGAGAAATAACTAGGACATTTATCAAAATTCTAAGAAACATTAAATTCATCTGACTACCGGTGCACAATGCAGGGGCTTGCCTTTCTACGCCAGGCAAACGCAACTTCAACTCCGACTGGTTCAGTACAGGGCACAATTTTGCAGTAGATCGCATTAAAGGTACAATAACTTTAGATGTCTTTGTTTATGTGAATTATTAGGAAGTATGGTGATGAGCGAGTCATAATGGTCCCTGACATCAAATTGATGCTACATTTTATTCAGATGCAAGATTACCATCAATCACTAATTCATTATAGTGTAACAAAATAATTCTTCTTTAGAAAAGTAGATAAAAAAAATTTTGAAGGAAAAGAAATCTCACATTAGTGAATTCTAATTTTGTAATTAATAGACAATAATACAGTTTACAGACACGTAACCTAGTCTTCATTGTCTTAGGAGACCTACAGCAGTTGTAAACGAGATTAAGATCATACTACCCTGACTGAACCAGCATACTGCGATTCGTCCATCCCACCCAACTAATTCCATTCCCAGAGTGTCACAATGCTTCAGAAGCAACAGAACGTGAATTCTAAAAGAAGTCAATTCAAAGTCTAAATGAAGTTTTACACAAACATCTTTCAAAGGAGCTGAAAGTTTCAATTATAAAACATAACACGAAAAATATTTTGTAAGATGCACTAAATTAAATGCTATGTATCAGGTCATTGTTTGAATATAAAATAATCCATGTTTTATGTAAATCACAAATGATAAAGGGATTAACATACATTGTATCAAAAGAGCCTATTAACACAGTGAATTATTTTTTTACTAATAATTTTTACGGGATTGTTACTTCTGAAACACTGTGGCTTGCTTCTTAAAATGCTGTACAAAATACTAGTGATCACTCTATAATCATATGAAAAATGGTAACAAATCTAAGAATCTAGAAATCAGCTTTCAAAACAGGCCATGTATATTACAAAAATACACAAGAAATAACTGTGGCAACTGTATGTAGTAAATGCTTATTCCTGTGTCGCAACCAGAGGAAAAAGAAGAAAATAAATAAATAAATGAGCACCACCATATGGTACTCCCTGTTCTTTCTCCTTTCACACTCCTAGATACAGCTACAATTCATACAGGGCTTTATCTTGAATTTTTATGAAAATGCAATATTACACTTTAATGAAACTACAATTTTTAAGAATTTTGGACCCTTAGCAATTTGTATTTCAATTCATTAATACCCATGCAACATTATTTTTCTGTTGCTCAAATCTGTAGACTGACAGTAGTTTTCATTTTCCAATATTTTTCAGCAGAATACATTCAGTGCTGTAAGCAGTAGCAGGTATGCTACTGATGAATAAAATGACATACATCAGATTACAACATGAAGGCAAACCGAATTCAGAACGCTAAACAAAACTAGTGAAGGTGTTTAATCTAAAAATATGAACTGTAATTGAATACCAAATCAAAATATGGAAACTTAATTTCCAGCTAAATTGTCAAATAACAAAAGAGCCCTTCAGTTTCTGATATGTTCATTCTATCCTTTATGATATATTTTCTTCAGTAATAATAATCTCAACAACAACAACGTATAGAATCTGTTAGAATGTCAACTTTGCTAAAATCATTATTTCTAGGAAGAATACCCTGAATCAAGGAAATCAGAATCCTTATTCCTTGGCAATTTTTATGAAACAGAAGTAAACTACAAATGAAAGAGTTGACTATGAGAAAGAATGACAGTTCTCACTACCAAAACCATTCTCATTGTTCAAGTTTCAGTAATTCTGCAAGTCATTATATGATTTTGCAAGGCCACCACAACAAATAATATCTTTGAGCAACTGCCTGCAGCAAAACCTTTGTCCACCCAGTGAAATACAACAGTTTAGTTATGTCCAATATATAAAGATATAAAAAAGAACCAATCACTTGTTCAAAAAAATAAATGAATATTTTCATAAATACCTATTAAAACTTATTCAAGAAAAATAAAATTCAGCTGATCCTCATCTACCTAAGAACTGTTAGAAAGTAAGATATTGTAATAATACTAACAAAAGAATAATATCTGGTTTACTGATTTGGATGACTTAATAAAGTGAAATGCATGAAATAATGCAAAGTCTGAATTCTGCATGCTAGCATATGATCACAATTTCTTTGTGCAGTGACAGATCATTACGAAAAGCAATAACAACCGATGAAGCAACATCAATAATTTGAAATGTGCGAAACCATTTCACACTCCCTGCCCATCATGAAAATTATAAATTCGATGATGAATTTTTAAGAAACAATGCCATTGGTGAAACAATCATGATATGGACCATTAAAGAGATGACCTATTCTTCAAAGTAGCTGACTATAAAACCAAATCATCAAATTCAAGTTAGCATGAAGAGGAGTAAGAAAAATTAATACAGAACTGATTCAATGAGGCACAGCAGGATTTCTACATCACTCCTGTAAGTATGCTCACATTACAATTTAAATATGTTTCACATTTTTCAAATTTGTGGCAAATTTACATATTTGAAACATGTGTTGTGTAAGTTATAGCCCTGTTACTCATATTTACAAAATCTTAACTCTCTGAACAGCATAAGCAGGAATTTTAGTTTGAAAACATGTACATCTCAATTTAAGCATATAACACTATGCTATATCTCTAATTACAGATATCACTACACACTTGTGACAATGAAATTAGCAATTACATTTTGGAAAGGGTAATGAAAGACAAGTCAGTGACCAAATGCTGGTAATTTCCCTTCATGGTAAATGTTCAAATCCTGCTTCTGCTGTCCGTAATACATTAAGAAGGTGGAAGGTATGCAGAAATCTTGGTACAAAATTACACGATAAGAGAGGAGTCACCTTACATTGGTCGAGATTCATACAGCTGTATATACTAACCAAACAATGGAAACACCAAGACCTGTGGTGAAGATTACAATGAAGTAATGTCTTGAACACACAGACAAGCAACAGTTTCATTTAAGTAATATATGAACTATTTTTGAGAAATACGAGTCTTTCATGAAGTAGTCCAATTCCTCCAAGTAGGCACAGACTCATTTAAAAAAAGTATACAACTTAATTTGTTCCCTCTACTCAATTCCCATATACACTTATTTATATACTGTTCTACACATATATTCTTTCATACAACATAAATATTTCTGTTAAAAAATGAATTAAAAAAATCACATAATATGATAGGGACATCAAACTGCACATCCAAACATGCTTTCCACAAATTTTAAGAGTAGAATGCATAATATTATAGGTAATACTTTGACATGGACATGTACATGTTGATATAATTTGTATATGAAGCACTTGCTCTTACCATCACAAATCCATAGATTAGGAATATAAATAATTTATTTGATCAATTATTGTCACTTGTAATATATGCAACATGTACCAAGAATTGTAATGCAAAAGCCTCTTTTAACCAGCACTGTTCTTCCTGTTCCATCCACAATAAACTATGCAGCTATATGAGAAAAATACACAAACAAAGACTCCACAAGAAATCAAGAATTAACACATGCATCTTGTAAACAATCCAGTAAGGAATTTCAGGACTAAAAATCATACCAGGATACTAAGGCAAGTCTCACATTAGGGATCAAGACATTTGAACCATACAAAGACTGCAGTTCCCTATCATAATATGTATGACTGCAAATGGATGGGACAAAGAAATGCACATCATAACAGGCTGTGCTGGACAGAGGCTCAGGACCTAAAGCACTTTTTTCAACTTTTCAGCACAATCCAAGTGGTGAAATGTGTAGAAATTATCTTATTTCAAAATGAATAGTTCAATGCACATACAAGAACTGACACACTTGTTATAATACATCAGAATTCTCTTAAAAGTCCTTACTTACAATTTCCACATAGAAACAACTCCATAAAATGGAGCATTGGTCAATGCACTACAAAATGGGAATGAAATTCACAATGAACATGACAGTCTTCCCATAACTACATCACACAGCTCACTTGGCAGGATGATTCTTCATGTACACAAGATTCTCTGCACTCTGAAAGGATGCAACTGCTTTCAGCTTCTTTATTCTCCATAGAAATTGGCAGCTCATTTCACAGGCTGTCCCTACACACACATACACTGTTCTTCTTGCACAATCAGACTAGATACCCCTTCTCCTTGTTTTTATATACAAGCCTAACATTAATGATGGGAAGAGTTCTGGAAAGAGCATAAATTACATCAATCATTCCTATTGCTCACAGTATCATTTCCTTTACATCTTTAGAATTGGTTTATTAAGCAAAACTATGTTAATGATACTAAAGAGATCCAGTATTACATATAATACTTCATTTAGTTTCAATTTAACATTCACACTCTGCAACACTTCATTAGAGAGTTGTTAAATAAGAGATAATTTATACCAGGTTAATTAAGGTATTCTACTTTCAAATATTACTGAAACCAATATGTTTTCAGCTATATAACAAATGAATTAGTTAATTTGTAGGTACCTGTATATCCCAAAGAAAAACCTTTGAGTGAACTGTCTTCTGCAATTGTTTTAATTAGTTTTATTGTTACAAGTTTCACAGTATTTTCCAACTCATTTTAAATAATAATAATAATATTGATATTTATTATTATTATTATTATTATTATTATTATTATTATTATTATTATTATTATTATTTGAAAATAACAATGTAGACCAACCCTTAAAAATAGTAAAATACAATTTCATAAGCAAACAAACAAAGGACATGATGACACAAACTGAAAATGGGTAATATTTTATTAAGAAGTTAATACAAAGCTTCCATAAAAAATTGTTGCATTCTTGTAGAATGTAGAAAAAATGTCTACAAAAAACAGGTTTTATTATACATCCTATTTGAACACTGCAACATTTTAACATGAATAACTGAATACACTGGCAGTGAGAATTTGAAAGTAAGAATACCTAATGAACACTAAACTTATCATTTTACTTATTTTTGTTTCTACTGCATGTGTACTAAATTCTGATTATATTTATATCTTGCTCTCTTTGTTATTTTTAAAATTGAATATTTTAAATAGAAAATTGAAATTGTGTACCCACGACTATTGTGTTATACTATCCACAAATTGTACAAAATCAAATTATTTATCAATATTCTCATATATGACAAAAAAAATAAAATAGGACATTAAAATCGCCATTATTTTATAAGGACTTTTGCATTCAAATAAGACGTTTGAGTTATTATATTCTCTGTGTCAACTGCAACCTAAAATCAAGACTCTTAGGCTTACGTACTCTTGTGTATTATCATTTCAGTATGGTGTATGATTTAAATGAAAACTCATGAGCCTAGACAGCTTTCTTTCTCACTTTAAAAGAGAGCAGCTTCTTTCTTATGAAATGGACTTCCAGGCATTTTTTCATCATAAAATAATAACCATTTTAACAGTCCCATTCATTTAACAATCATCTCAAAATAATTGCACAACAAAATGTCTAAAACTATTGACTAAAAAACAACAACTCGAGATAAGCCTTTTTATCTTAAGGAAACACTCACATAGCATGCAAGTGATAATGAATAACAGTCTCAGACAAACTTCATAAAGCAAGTGATGAATTTACTTACATATACATCAAGACACTAGCTTTCCATACTAATATCAATCTGAAGAAAAGTGTTTTATTCAAAATTACTACATGGCAAGTGTTTTCTTTACATCTCAACTGAATTTTGGCCTTGATAAAGAATAAATAAAAATACACTATAATTATTATAAAAAAATCCAATATTATTATGTCCAATGATGACATTTTACTTTTATGATTGTTGTGCCCTTTATCTCCTTTTCTCTCTCCCCCCATTAAAATGTTACAAATGTTCAAAAAGAATCTCGTCCTGAAGATTACGGTGTGAGAAATGTTTCTATGAGGCCTTTGGCCACAATATTTTAGTCTTTAATGCCTTAGGACAGTTTATTGAGGAGTTATTTAATGATACAGATTCAAAAAAACCTGCTAGGGTGTTGTGGTTTGCATTTGACATAAATACATAGTTTTGTTCTACAGCGCCATCTAGTGAATTTTTCCGATATTTAAATAATTATTCTGCTATTCAGAGCATTATACATATATACACAATCTAGCATTTCATATTTCAAACCACTTTTTTTGTAAAAATGCAGCGAACGAATTTATGATTGTTCTCACTGGAATGAGTAATGATTTGATCACTTGTCAATAGGTAGGGATTACTGCCTTCCACGTTAAGGTCTTATGACAAAAAACAGACATAAAATAGAATTTTGTAATAATATTTTGTTCAGTATACCCATTACTTTGAAAAGTTCATTTAACTTAATAGACAGTTTCAATTTATTAAAATAAAAAGTATTTGAAAATATTTCTATTATTTGAGCCATGGTTATTTGCAATATTTCTCTCAGAACAGAAGTCAGTCCTATAAATATGTATAAATTTTGACTATTAATGTTCAATGAGATCATTGTTATGTATAGAACATAGCTGCACAATGAAATAAAAAGTCATTTTATTTAATAACATTTCAGTAGAAGAGGTCACAAATGATGTCTTCTGAAAATCCCTCTCTTTTATACTTTGTATCAAATATAATTTTAACTTCTGTGATGAGAAGTTTGATAACTCTGGAGATTACTTTTATTCAAAGAAAAAGGAGTTTCATTTTAAAGCGCTAGTATATTGATGGGCCAAAATTGGTGAATATTTTGCCACACAATACATGACAACTATAATACACCATACAAAAATGTTTTTTGTAAATGCTGAAGTAATCAATAAAATCATATTTCTGCTGAAATAAGTTGAAAGTCATTTTTATAAAGTTAAATTTACTTAATGCACTCATACTTTTGACATCCCTTGATTATTTAGTTTTGTCCAAGACTGTGGGGAGACAGTAGACACATATCACCAACTGTTGTATGCATACAAGGGAAGCTATTCATGCAATAACACTGATCACATTTAATATGTACATAACCATACTGAACCATACTGAACATGCAAACACTTTTAGCAGAAGCATAAATGATACATTACCCAATAGAGAATTCAGATAATACCACTATTGCTTTTTACAATGTTTAAAAAAATTCATCTTGAGAAAAAAATGATTTGTAATTACTGCCCAAAGTTAATATATCAAAATTTGAATCCTATCAGTGAAATGGCTTTTATATGAGTTACAAAGGCAGAGGTAGAAGTACAGAAGGTTTTATTTTCTTATTAGAACTACAAAATTTCACACTATATATAATCATTACTATCGATAATGAACTCTTAATTTACTAAAACTATTTCATGCACTAATTCTGAAAGTAAAGAAAAAGATATACAGGATTCAGAAAATTAATTTTCACCACAGCAAATAATAAAATGATAAAAAAGAATGGTTACTCATTTCCATTTTCAAGAATTGATACTGTATATCATGTCTTTATAGACATGATATATCAATACTTTAAATTTCCAATTTCGGTATGATTCATGCATTAGATTTACTTCCTAACGATAAAACTAAACAAAAACTTAAAAAATCATTGTTTTAATAACTGAACTTGAATTAGCAGGTTCATCACCGTTTTAACGTAAATTAAAAAATTCATTTAATACACAGATACATGCACATTGATAAGAAAAAAGTTAACAGTGTAACTAATCTAATTTAACTGACCAATAAAACAAAAGAAATAAAAATTATTTTAAAATTAAATATGTGCATGGTTTAATTCCCCAAAATTTGTTGAATTATTTTGCAAAACATATCGTCAGAGAAAAGTTCACAGTCATACAATAAGTTCCTATTATTGAAAATATTACAATCAACAAATACTAGTGTTCAACTTATAAGGATTTTTTTGCTTCTCACTATATCTGCTACTGACATTCATAAATACTTCCATGAACACGAAATTACTAATTCATATAAAATAACCATTTAAAGTTCTTAAATATATTGAGATATCTTAAATCACATTTCAACCTATATATTGTACATTGAAGAAAAATGATATTCCTGGAATGAATCTTACCAATAAAAATCACATACCAAATTTATATTTTAATATCTATAAAAATCTGAATTTTTATCAACTTTTCATAATGGGTTGGCCTTTCTCTGGGTTATCACTTGATTCGCACAATATTCAATTCATTTTCATCTCTTAGATAAAATTATTTAATCACTTTTTGAAATACTGTATCTGTTATGTTCATTCAGATGCATAAATCATATCCCTTTCTTAACTTCTGACTTTTCTCAACAAAATATGCATGCAGAAGAAATAAATCAATACCATGCAATTCACAAATCTGAACAAACAAAAAAAATCTCATTTACACATGTATGTTACACATCAAACGAATTTGTTCATTTGTAGATCACCGAATTGTTAGAGATATACATTTGCCTTTCAGAAAGTTATTTGTCACACATAAGCTATCAACAGCCAATAACAGAGAAAACAAACTTGAATCTGCGGAGTAGTATTGCTTGTTCATGCTGATATACTGCATTAAATTTTATTATTCTAAAGACAATACAATTAATGAAATCAAGGAAATTTACCCTTATTTAGGTCAGAAATATTAAGAAAACATTGCTTTGACTCATTATGAACAATATAAAGAAGAGTAACTTCAAATTTGCTAACACAAAATTCACACATTTGAACCAAATAAACAACAAATAACAAATTAATAAACTAATTAACCAATTAATAAACTAATTAATAAAACACACTGGTGAGTATGTATGATTGTGGTACTAATAAAATGAAAATCTAATACAGTTTGTACAAACTTCATTACCTCCCAAGTAGTGTAATTGCAATTTATTCCAATTTTCTGAGGTATACTAAGGAATAGCCCAATAACACGCATGTAATGTCATCTCCCACATAAAAATTATTATTTTTATATTGTTGTTCATTTGAAAGTCAAAAATCCTTCTTGACTAAATGCATTCCATTATAGAAAAAATTGGCAATGATAACATTCACATGCTGAACAATGATGTTACACTACATTTATTAAACAGTTAAACAGATGATTAACTGAGCGTCAAAAAAAAGTTATTTACATTATATGAGGTTAAAATTTATTTGCTATTTACACTTTAAACTATATCTATATTATAACATAGCAGCTTTGGTGATATTAACAGCATTGTGATTGACAATGAATACACTTTCTGTACAAATTTTTGTCACAAGAACTTTAGTGTAGGTAACAAAACTATGCTTATTTAGTACAGCAAAATACATTAAATATTTTGACGCTGGTGAGTAATAATTAATCATTCCACAAACGAACATCGTAATATTTGCTATTATTATTATATTTATAAAACACACTCAACCCATCGATAGAATTAGAAGAAGAAAAAAAAAGCAATATTTGCTTTTGAATAATAAATTTCTCTTCACCAATTGCAGAGCATATTCACAAGTAAAATAAAAAACAAAAACAAAAAAGGAAACAAACTCATACAAAGTTGGAGTTTGCTATTGACGAGCATTTGAATGACAATTTAGAGAACATTTAAATAACAATTTCAAGACATTACTTGAAGAAAAGAAATACGGCAATGACATTGGAAGATCATCACTGACATTAAACTCATGACTAACAAAAACATTCAGACTCAGAAATCAAAAATTACACTCTGGAATAATAATCTAGTTGTTTTTTCTACACCTAGAACATAGACGAGTAAATATTTATGAAAATCTTTTAAAACTATTGTTGATATGCTCTGACAAACATCTGATCTAGATCAGAGGAGGTGAACAGGTGGGCTGATTATCTCTGAGAGATATTGAGAACTCAAGCCTCCTCAAAGAGCTATTTACATGCAGGTAAGCGAGGCAGTGGACATGCCAAGCATGAGAGCAAACCAGACAAACCTGTGGGACCAGTGGGCAGGGAGGCTGCCGGCAATCATGAGGCCTAGTGAAGAAGCAACACACATGAGTCTGGACTCTGTAACCCCAAAACTATTCTTTCCCAGATTGTTCATCTTCTGAACAATGCCCGATGTACAAAATTCTACTTCAATACAAATCTTAAGTGTAGTTCATAAAATGTACATGTCAGAGCAATCCAAGAAAACACCATAGCTGAGTTGCCAACACAGGGTGGGCAAAGGAATTTCTACAAACAAAATTCTAATAGATGATATATGAATATTGTAAAAATTCATTCTTGTTTTGACTAAAACAACAAAAAATAGCTATAATTGGCATTCAAAACAATTAAAGAATCAGCATTGACATCAAGAAGCCAATAAGGCTCTTTTGGTAAAAAAGGGTACATTGACTACAGTGTCCTGGTCAATTGATTGCACATCTAGACAAACACATGCTTTCTAGTGTACTCCTCCTAAACAATGTAATCTGAAATACAATCAACATTGACTACACTGGTTTCTAGGAGTCAATCATATGCAGGAACAGCTTTCTTTTGGAATATGCAGTTGGAAGTTTCATATCTGTAATAAGGGGTAAAAACACACATGGCAAAAAAGTACAAAAACATAATTCTTATTGACTGTCCAAAAGAGGAAGTGTTACAGAAAGAAGCCAGCCTATATTAAATTACGATGCACTTATGAAAATGGTAAGCATAGCGATAATATTTATGAAAATATTTACAGCAAAAAAGCCAATTCTAAATTAACAATACATCCTTGTACAATAAATATTAAGTAATATGAAATATCAGTGGAGAAAGAAAAAGATAAATGGTAGAAAGAAAGAGAGAAAGAAAAATGGAGAAAATAAAGAGGAAGACGGAAGGACGGCATTTTAGACATATTTTTAGTTAATTTAATTGCATACTAACCAAAAGTATGTACTTGTATTTTGTTTAAAAATTAATGACTTAAAAACAAAAATGTATCAGCTAATGACTTTGTCAACTAGTCATTGATTATGACCTTTTTATGAAAGTATCAAACATGCTAATAATCTGTCCAATCAGGCACTTAAAAGCTGGCTGCTTCCTGAGTACATGAACACTGTATTAAGACTGTGGCTGTACAGCCTGGAGATTAGGCAAGTGAGTGGCTAATGGACTTACCGTGCTGGTCTGAGGAGGTGAAGGCTGCTGCTGAGGTGGCTGTGGCTGCTGTTGCTGTTGCTGCTGTGGTGGCTGTTGTGGTGGTTGTTGCTGCTGCAATTGCTGTTGCCCCTGGGGAGCTAGGGTATGCTTACTCATAACAATTGTTGTTGTCTTTGTTAAATCAGATTTTGGTCCACCAGGTGATTTGGGAACAGTCATTTCTGTTGGACTACTTGGTTTGTTAACTAGAAGTTCAGCAGCTCGCACAACATCAAGAACCTATATAAAAAATAATAGATATAATAATAATACACAACAACAACAACAACAATAATATAATAATAAATTAATAATAATAATA